CATCCCCAATTTTTGTTTTTGAGACCTTTACATGGCTGCCATGTTCTAAGAAAGTGGCAGAGAACTGATAAGGGCTACAATATGTTATAGATTTGTAGAGATAATTCCCTAATTTTTGTCACTTTTTTGAACGTGGACGACGAGCACGAGCTATAGGCAATTACCAACTTACTTTTGAGCTCGCGAAGAAATGCAGAGAAGCGATAAAAGAAGATCTTAAAGAGAAAAGAGCACAAGTAATGGTTGACGCAGCGGAGGTCGGAAGAAGTAAACGCAAAAGATGACCGCACTCCACTACCCTGATAGAATCACAACCTTCCTGAAGGTCGATGGAGAAAGTCATCCACAAATTCTACTCGGATTTCTTTGAGTCACGTCCACCTACCACAATGTCATCTCAAGGAAAACAAATATGTTGCACCACTAGTTCCTTAGAGGTTCGACATGCTATCATGTAAATGATAAGCCGTACAGCAGCCGGGCCCGACAGGATCACACTGGAACACCTGAAGAATCTTTCACCAGTACTTAACAGAGCTCTGGCGAGGCTATTCACGCGGTACCTGGCAAAGCGCACGATTCCATGTCAATGGAAGACCAGCAAAACCGTGTTGCTGTACAAGAAGAGAGACCTGCGGCATCGGAAATTACTGTCCTATCTGCTTACTGTCTACAGTCTATACTCTTTACACGAGTACTTTTAAACAGAATCAGAGAAGAATTAGAAAAAGGACAACCATGCGAGCAAGCTGGGTTTTGGAAAGGATTTAGGACTGCGGACCACATACACACGATAACAAGGCGAGAGTATCGCGAGAGTATAGGACGCCACTCTGCCTCATGTTCATCGACTTGAAAAAGGTATTTGATTTGGATGAGACTGAGACTGTCATCGATGTCTTGAGCAGTCAAGGTATTCCAACTTAGTACATCGAGATCGTGAGCTACAACAACTTCACAACCAAATCACACCATCCTATGAGGACATCACCACCGACGTGAACAGAGAAGTACGACAAGGCGATACCATATTGCCGAAATTTTCAGCGCTACTCTCGAAAACGTCATGCGGCACTAGAGTGGGACGGCACGAGTATGAAATTCGACGGCCGGCAGCTACACCACTTTCGCTTTGCTGATGATATAGTCCTGATTACATCGGACATCATGCAAGCGGAACGAATGCTGGCCCAATTTGACAACGTGTGTGGTAAGCTCGGTCTAAAACTAAATCTGACGAAGACGATGTTCATAAGAAACGGATGACTTCCCGATGCTCCTTTTACGCTAAATGGAATGACGATTGGCGAATGCTCTAGCTACGTCTACCTAAGTCGGAAAGTCAACATGATGAACGACCTAGCCCCGAGCATGACGAGCATACAAGGCAGTCGAGGACGTAGTGAAGAAGACCAAGAACATCCGGCTTCGCGTCCATCTCTTCAACACGACAGTTCTGCCTGTTTTGACGTATGCTTCGGAAACGACCATGAGGAAGCAGGACGAACAAGAGAAGTTTCTTTGAGGCAGCGTTTACCAGAGCTTGGCCCTCCATGTTTTCGTCATTTTGGGGCCTTTCCGTGGCCCTGATTGCAGTTCCCAACTTCAAACTCTCCAAAATTCACAAATAACCCGATTTTTGGTGACCTCGTTTTGGGCGCGGACGAGTTTCGAATCGCTCGTCCCCGTCGGCAGGCCAGCAGGGAGGAGCTACAACTGCATGTATGCAGTTGTACTACTGCAGGCCCTTCTGCGTAGTGCCATGTCAATAGTTGTCGGGAGCCATCCCTGGATGGGCGGAGTCTAATACCAGACTCCGCCCAGCCAGGGACTTCCAGGCCCCTTATCTCCATTCAGAGACAATGTTAGAAGACCGGACCAACGCAGATGTCCCTTTTTCTGGGACCTACATTCAGGATCGACACTAATCGAAGAAGGTTAGGTTTAGCCTGAACACTGCCTTTAAGAGAAATTTTCATATATTTAACATGCACACGTTTATGGTATCACAAAAATACTGGGCATGACTCGGAGAATATTAATGTAGATGTACTAAATCATGTTACTGAAATGGATAATACAAAAAACTTTTGAGAGACAAAGAGCTTTAGTATACACATTATATGGTCACTGCATACCCGATTTGATGATTAAATAAAAGGATTTGGCAATATTTCTGACAATATCAATCTACTCGAAAAGAAGGAACATCCTTATTCTAGATGTCCAGTCATAAGAACAAGAACGAGAAGAAAGAAAGGAGGTCTAGAAGAAAGACCAAACGCTATGACAGAACAGAAGTGGTAATAACGACGTTAGTTGACTTGTGTAGTAATGCACTCTTGTCAAGAAATTGTATTAAGTTGCCCATGAGTTTTTTCATTTTTAAATTTTTGCTGTAATAAGGGATATCATTCGATAGAGCAAAGCAAGCTTATAAGATGGCGTTCATGCTTTTGCACCATCTACGATCCATTTCAAGTTTGAGACCTAAATTTAAAGAGTTTTGGATGCCCAAAAAATTGAAAATTTTTCATGTCTTCGTTTAGAAAAGTCCTACAGATTTCTCACTCGCTCACGCATATCTCCACCATCGGACACTCATATGGGCTGCTGCCGTATTTTTTCATTGGCTAGAAATCAAGAAAACAAAAAAATCCATGTTTTCACAAAAGTGATGCTGCGCTGTTCTTACACTAACAATTGTATACTACGAGCCTTAGAAATACAGCCGCAAATTTTTAGCTCTCTTTATGCTGGAGTTCCCAAGAAATATCGAATTTAGCTTTTTCATTTGGATTTTTCATGCTTAACTCACCATTTCTCGGAAACCAGTGCTTATAGAGAAGTAAAATTTTCAATTCTCTGGGCATCCAAAACTTTAAATTTTGGTTTCAATCTTGAGGTGATCGAAACTAGTGCAAAGCATAAACGCCATCTTATAGAGCTTGCTTCGCTCTATCGAATGGCATCCTAATGTCTATTTAGGTTGAGAAGTATACGAATTATTACAGCGAAAACTAAAAAATGGAAAGACTTATGGACAACCTGATAGATTCAACATAAAAAACCAACATTTTCTTGATTTTATCTTTTATTTTTAAATTTTCGAAATGCAAAAATCAAGGATACAAGTGAATGCCTGCCATGGATAGCATATACTGATCAAGTTGGAGATTTGCAGAATCCTTTTGGACGGATTTTGCATCCAGATGTTTGCAACTTTTTTTAGAATCGTTTGCGATTTTTCCAATGCCATTGTAGAGCTTGCTCGGCATTATACAGGGTGTCCCAAAAAAATGTATCGAACGTTTGATCGTTAATATCTCTCTTGTAAAGAAGTCTTTTCTCTCGCTTCCGGTACCAATCTGTAGAGCTGGCTCCTACTTAGACTTGCATTATAGAACGAATCACTCATATCTCTTCATTACTGTAGGATTACGGTAGAAACTTCAAAGAGGGTTTTATGCAATGGCCCATATTTTGCCTCAGAAAGGAAACAAAACAGCCTAGAGCTTTTACACTAGGCTAATTAGAGTTGCTGATTATAACTGTAAAGTTCCCAACTTATTATGATGTTTTATTGGAGAGTTATGCCAGGTAAGAGGTAACGGCCATTTTTCCAATGTTCCTAAAAAGTGCGGTTACAGCGTTTAGAAAGCTTCGCAACTTTGAGAATAGTTGAGTATTGAACTCAGCGTCCATAAAAACCCCAATACACAAGTTTTCACAATTTTTTAAAAAAATTTTGAAACGACAGCTTTTTCCACATTGACACAATATGTTTCAAGTTTCTACCGTAATCCTACAGTAATGAAGAGAGATGGGTGATTCGTTCTATAAGCAAATCTAAGTTGAAGCCAGCTCTACAAAATGGTGCCTGAAAGAAGGCAAAGGACTTCTTGGGAAGAGAGATATTAACGATCAAACGTTCGAAACATTTTTTGGGGACACCCTGTATAATTATACATCAAAAACAATAAAGTGCTCACAATTATTTCTGTAAGACTGAGAAGATTGAATGTGGAATTTAGTGAGAATGCAATCAGCACAAGCAAGCCTCGTAAAGGCTTGACTAGTAAGCACTAAAATGCAATAGCTCCACAAAACTAAACATTGGAAAATTGGGAGGAGGCTTTGGTTTTTGCCATTTTCGCTCTTTTCGGAATCACCCCAGATGCAGAAAAATTTTGGATCAAGGAATTGCAGAACCATTGCCTTTAAAGTTCCAGGTTTTTCAAATTTTCCTCCTTTTCTAACAGTTACTCCTAAACGAGACACTTGCTTTTCAAAAGTAATCATTATAACTCTCAGTTCCGCATGTGCTCGTGATTGCTAGCAAAGTTTTCAACTTGATGTTTCGAAAAGGTGAAATTACATCTACTCTTCAAAAGTATTCAATATTAACTGATGTCCGGACCTTTCATTTCCGAAGTTTCTTCATTCTGATGTATACACAATCATCTTCGTTTCTAATAAATCTTATAAATGAATAAATGAATGATAATAATAAATGTTATTTTTTGTTGATAATACCCTAAAATCCCTACAATAAGTCCGCCTCTCAGATATGTCCGCCTACCAGATAAGTCCGTTTTTTTTTATGGAAATGCACCCTTGCGCCGCCAAAAGTCCCGCATATAAGTCCGCTTTTTTGCAGATAAGTCCGGACTTATTGGCGGGATTTTAGGGCAATTACTAGGGGTGCTATTGCTTTTTCCTTTCTCTTGCCTCCTTCTCCCCATTCCCTCCCTCTCCCCACTTCTCCCTTTAAACTTGCTTGGTTTTGAGCTTCAAGGAACTTGTCTTGTCATGTGCTTAGTGATTATAAGTTGATCACTGCAGCTTTAACTCAGACGAAATGTTTGACACCGAACTAGTTGGGAAGAGAGGGCACGTGGTTTGACACGACTACTGGTAAAGCCGAAAAAGCAGGAAAAGTATGTATGGTTACCATCGAGGTTCTGGTACACATTTGGATATATATATATATCACTTACCTCTGGCCTCCCGTTCTCATCTAGTTCCTCCACATCACATTCATTTACTTGATCAGAAACAAGCACGGCTTCCAGTGCTGGAAACTGAAACAGTTCCAGCACACTGTGCTGTCCTCTAGTGCTTGGCGCGGGAGCCTAAAAACCACATCATTATCTCTCAAATTATGCACAGAAAACAAAACTTACGTCAGTGACTACCGGGGCGAGCCCGATCTGTTTCAACGCATCCCCAATAGATAATCGAGACTTGTAGACATGGAGGCATTTTGCCGCATGATACTGATCCGGTTTTGCTGCAAGAACAGTGTTGACACTGGCAAGAGAAAACTTGAGAAAGCACATTTCAAACAGGAGACTACCTGCACACGATATACGGTGGCCATGTTTTCTTAGTGAATTTAGGCACATCAGCTGAGTCGCCAGATGCCCTCCTTCCTTGTAGACTGTACTTAGGTCAAGCAATACGAATGGTGTATCCAGTGAACGTTGCATGTCCCATATAGACTTCAGAATAAATCATGGACATAGTTTGGACCTCAAATTGTAGTTACTATTTTATGTGGAAAATCAAATAAATTCAGAAAAAAGAAAGAACAGCAAAGACTTGTATGCAAAATACCTTGTTTTCGCTGCCATGTAACCAAAATTGAATCAGTCCTTTTTATAGGTACATGGTATGCAAACATATGAATAATAAATACAATCGGTTGTAATTTTTTATTACAATTCCGCAATGTATGAATGATAATCAAAGCTTAGATACATAATGAGACAATTCAAAATTGAATGATGTACATGCGCATTTTATAAGATTCGCTGGACGAATTTTAATACCTCTAGAGATAACATCGTAAAAAAATCATTGTTTTCTTTTATCAGTAGCATCAAAGCAAGTCCAATTTCGCTAAGACAATTTACATCTAACAAGAGAAGTTCGCGGAATCGAAATGGCCGATTGATATGTGGTATATACCCGGGCTCGGGGCTCGGGAGGTTAGTATCAAATATGCAGCCATTAGCTGCGACGCGTTGCTCTGGAGCAAGTTACAGCCCCTGAAAGTTTTTGGCGTATGTATGTGTAGAGAACGCATAGATGCTACCACCGTGGTCGTGTGGTGTAGTGGTTAGTGTCTCGGACTCACAGGTGACGCATGATGGTTCGAATCCTGTTGCTGTCCACATCTTTTGCGTTCTTCTCAAATTCCATTTTTTACCTGTTTTATGTGTTTTTGAGGCAAAAATGACACATACGCTTGGTTAAACTCTACTAATTATAAAACCTGCGACGTCATTCTCACAAATAGCTCATTAGCAAGAATCAATAGTACGATGTGATACAACTTGGAAATTGTCACCTAAACGCTACGTGCAATCGAAGATAATATGTGGAAGTGAGAATTTGGCAAATCTTCAAAGAAGTTGAATTCCCGTTGCATCAGAGAGACTCAATTTTGAAGCTGCTTTCACTTGTTTATTTCCAATTCTGTTCGCCGCGTTTCAAAGTTTTCTCGCATACTCGTGGCATGCCGCAGGGTATGTGGACGAGCACCCTGAATCATTTGAAACGCCGCTACAGTTTTGTTTTCCTTATAATTTGAATACAGATGTTTGCTGTGAGATAGAAGAATGCAATGATATTATATTTATTCGTTGTGCGTTGCGAGAAATATCTGTGCTTCAACCATTTTGTCATAGATTATCACATGTGCTCCCAATTTTGTTATTTGTAAGCAATTCGATACGATGTAGACTTTTGATAAAGTTTAATTGGTCGACGCAAAAAGTTGCCCGGGAATTTTGCATCTGAAACATTGGTCAAATGTTTGTGAAAAAAATTATCCCGTAAGCCGTATATGTCATTTTTTGCCTCAAAAACACATAAAACAGGTAAAAAATGGAATTTGAGAAGAACGCAAAAGATGTGGACAGCAACAGGATTCGAACCCTCATGCGTCACCTGTGAGTCCGAGACACTAACCACTACACCACACGACCACGGTGGTAGCATCTATGCGTTCTCTACACATACATACGCCAAAAACTTTCAGGGGCTGTAACTTGCTCCAGAGCAACGCGTCGCAGCTAATGGCTGCATATTTGATACTAACCTCCCGAGCCCCGAGCCCGGGTATATACCACATATCAATCGGTCATTTCGATTTCGCGAACTTCCCTTGTAAGGAGAGGTTGTACTCAAGATTTTCGAACGAATTGTTAAAGTTATATTCTTCTAAAACCACACACACTCTACGGGTTCTCCTATTATACAGAAAAAGAATTATCGATCCAAAGGATTTGATTTCGACGCCGCCATCGTTTCCTGCCATAAAAATGACGTCCTGTTTGTTTGCGACGGCCTTTTCCAGTAAATCGCAGAGGCGCAGACCTTCTTGTTGATGACAATCCTCGAACTATAAGACGGTTGCCCCTATATATTCAGAGAAGAAGCTGGCTTACTATGCGTCTTCATCACTTGATAGCAGCACCCTGTGATGTTCTTGCAACGTCCCTGATTCCAGTCTGATTCCTTTAGGAATGTACATCATGTCATCCACGTACACTCCAACGGGAAACCTGTGTCGGAAAATCCTCGAAAAATTAATTTTAGCTCAGTTTGCCACCTCTTTTTGTCCTTGTTCACTACTTTTTCCTTGAGCGCAAGCATTTGCGGCGAGTTCGAAGCTCTTCGTTGAAGTAAGAGACGCATTTTTTATATAGAAGATACCTGGGTAGAAATATATTAGTCCCATTACCCTAGCATGGCACCTCACCTTTCAATCATAATGCTTGAGCTATTCGTTGTTGTTTGATCGATTTTTATCTGAATTCGGTGATGATGAGATTCGAATGGAGCAGAGCTCCATTGGTACATCGTTCCGTAATGGTGTACTTCCTCTTCCATTCCATGGTCAAAAAACCACTAAATCATCTAGTTTTCCGTAATCACCCTAGTGGATGGACATCACTAACGTGGCACTTTAGTGTGAATATGTCAGGTAAAAGAGCAGCCCATATCCTTTTTGTGAAGCGGGCGATTTCGCGAGCCTTCGTTATAGTTCCAGTTGACAACTTTTCGGACTCCTTTATCAGTTTGAGACAAGCCCAGTAACCTAGTATGGACACTGCCGCTAATGGTGATGACACCAGCCATCAATCACGAAAGATTCAGATGTTCTTAAAGAAGTGTTGTCAACAGCGGTTTTTATCCATGATCGACGATTATGCAACCGCTCTCCTCTTATGTAACATTTTGAGCACCTATACTCGGACTCCCATCTAGGGAGCCCAGATAATAGTCTCTGTGCCTAAATGATGGTGAATCGAGAGGTTTATGAGAAGTAAATCCATGTGAATACCCCCATGTCGGCAACACCCCTATACAACCGTATATGCACATTCCAAACAAGGCCGTTCAGAGTAATCTTGATAGGTTGATTTCTCAGACTTTGAAGCTCTGATTTAAGTCTGAAGCGAGACGAGCTGAGACTATTCTGATCACAAAACTTTAACTCTTTTCCTGATACCAAAAAGAATTTCCATCATTTTATAGCTGGGCTACTTGTCTGAGTACACCATACCGCATAGTGTCGAGTTCACGTAGTCATTTGCTTTTGCTTTTGGCAGGTTGTCTATCCTCAGATACAAGGGCCATACCTCCCTCCTAATCAGTAGTTTTTCCCTTTCGAATCAGATTTACTCTGGACTCACTTGCTAACGCGCTTCGAAACGATTCCGTCGATTGATAATGACAACAAGATAGTGATATTCCCACTATGAAAGTCATGATTGGATTCTATGTCTTCGTAAAATCCTCGAAAGTATCGAAGATCGCTTCTATCTTCGGTAGGCGCACCCTAGAATGTCGAGTCATTGAAGAGCACAGTTGATGCAGTTCATACCTGATTTCGATGAAGAGATCTATGAAAGTGAACTATCTCTACAATATTTTCAGAAATTATGTCCGACAGCTGAGGTATGGCGTTTACAACCTGCACCTCAATTCTTTGTACCGTTTTCGCTCTTTTGATTAGAACCCTGCAGAAAAAATAAATGCGACATTTAACATTAGCCCAAGTTTTCACTGCAGCTAACCGTTTAAGAGGGTACCCTTCATTCTCACACATATCTCTCCACTGGCTCAATCTACTTTCGCAATGGTTACAAAAGTAATAGCTGTGATACTCAGGATGTAAAGCCCTGTAGGTCGTATCACGCTCCCAGTTTACTACTTGTCACACGATTTTCGCTACTTAGTACTCTTTTATATCTCACAGATTGGTGGTTAAGAGTACAAAAGCATAAGTACGGCCAATGAGAAGTATGTGATCAGACTCCTCTTGCTGTTTGCCCTTTACTCCTCATCTGAGGGATTCCTTAGGTAGCTATTGCGATGAAAAATCAAACTGCTTTCCATGACGTCATAACCAAAAATTCCTTTTTGTGAATGCAAGTATGATGAATTGAAGATTCCTCGCAATTTTTGGTCAAGTAGACCCATCCTCTTCAAACTTCCATTTTTGCGACAGGTGAAAAGAGACCCCGAGTTGTCTGAACACAGAGTCCACCTTGCAAGGTTGTCTTAAATTACCTCACAGTCAGATTATGCAAATACTGTTCATTTAGTGTAAGAAACGAGATGTGGATCCTAAACTTCCTCATCGTGAATACGGACAAAGTCCAGACTTGTCTTCAAAACACGAGAAGAAGTAAAATCTAATTGAACGGGCCTATACAAGCTATTCAACCTTTACCATCAAAAAACAGCACAAAAACTTGCTAATAGAAAAAGGTCGTACAAGAAAGTTTACACAAAAAGACTCACAAAAAAGATCAATTATGGATAACCTCTAGCCTTTCATCGTCAACTTGTTGTCGCTGGCCCAACGACATCCTCAGCACCATCGTTTCCATGAGATGGATAAACTGTCATCAATCAAGATCTTCATTAGTTAGCTTATGTATGCTCAAACAAAAGACATCTATGCCTAACTAGCACGCTCCGAAAACAGACGCCCTTACTCGTACCTATAGTTACAAATGGCTGCGAAAAGCGCGCCCCATGTCCCAGTGCAAATCTGTATTCCGCGCGGGAACCCCGGCGATTAAGCGCGCACACCCTATAACTTTCAGCGCGAAATAAGGGACACTGAAGAGAAAACAATTCCTTTCTGCAGGAGAATCACAAAAACAAGTGCAATTGTTAACGTACGATGCTCTACCTTTCATTTCTTTTCATCTAGATCATTCTTCATTAATATGTTGCCTCAAGAACTTAGCACGGATAAGAAAGTAATGATTTGTATGTGCCCAAACAGAGAGGGGCTTTCTACTATACGTTTCTTATACAGCAGTCATAAGAAGAAAAAAGCTGCAAATTCAAGTGTCGAGAGGTGAATTACTCATTCTGAGACTAGGAGGCCCAAATGCTCCAATTTGGAAAGCACTTCAGACACATCTCATTTTTGATGTTAGACCACTTGGATAAAATTGAT